GCATGCAAAAGCCCGTTTGCTGGAAATCTCGAATAAGTTGATTCTCGTAAATTCACTCCCCCCCCCCAGATTATTAGCAGATCCATGTGTTGCTTATAAATTATCAGAAGGAACTCGTTTGTGCTTATTCCAAGCAAATCTGCAATGCATGCAGATGTCAAATCAAGGCCACAATCCCCACCCCACCCCACCCCTCATCAGATGCATCACTGGATTACAAGCACATAAATATATTATTTTACTTATTCACTTAGTTACACACTTCTTACCGATCCCCTTGAAAAGGAAAAATAAGCCGTAAAAATGTAGTTCTTTCCCAGGGACAAACATTATCACGAACCTTTACGCTGCGTCGCATTCCCCACCTTTCTTCCAGCAAACCCGACCACCACCTTTCCTTTCACGGCTTTATCCTTTGACAAACACGCCGCACCCTCTAATCCAAACCAACAACAAGATCCTCCTGCTTTATAAATCATCCAACACTCACTGCTTATCTGCTCATCCCACTCACGTTTATTGCATGTGCAACCCACCTTTTCGAGCATCTCTTCGTCGTAACCGAACGGCTCTTCTCCGTGTGTGTGTGTGTGTACAGTGTAACACAAATCTTAAAGAAATGTTGTTCTTGCACTCTCACGTCTATGTTTCACTCCGGGCGGGTGTTAGTTTGGGTTATTTCGCTCAGTTGTTAATTCCCGCTGCGCTGTCGACAATACGCCACGCGATAACGAATCCCTATGGCAAATCTCGCAGAGTAAGTGCCACCTTGTGCTTGTGTCCAAGGCCGGGGTTGAGCAAAATCAATGTTTACAGAACTTTTTTTTTTAATAAACCCATTAAGTGGCATTTTTTTTTCTTTTACGCAGTATAGTAGCGTACATTTCCCTCCCGCTCTACGAAAATATCGGTGCTGTTGTTGCATGGCAGCCAAAAATATTTATTGCAATTCAAAAAAAATTAATTTTGACAAATTTAAGTGGGAAAAAACACGCTTTAATCTGAGAGTCAATTGTGCATTTATTGGCGGTCAGATTGAGGCCAAAAAAATTATTATATACGTAAAGGGCCTGGTTTAATCACAGGTGGCTGATACCTGGAATGGGACCCAGGCTCTCAGCAGTGCCAGCTTCGTGCTCTGCCTTCTAAGGCACCCAGCCCCACAATCCAGTCCTGCATATATAAATATTAAAAAAATAAACAAACCTAGTTAGGAATGCATCTAGTGAATTACGAACGCTCATTTGTATTATGCGTATTAAATCTGTAACTGTTTAAGTGTAATAAAATGTGGTGTGTGTTTTTTTTGTTCTTTCTCCATTACTCTACGTTACCCCTCTAGTAACATTACAAGCTAACGAACAAGGAGTGCCTGTCCGGCACGATGTAACATCTGCACCTAATTACAGGCCCCAATTTCAATTAAGCTCTCAGAACAGCATGGCCCCCAACGATGTGATCAACAAACCGAGGCTAAAGGCTTCCGATGGAGCGCCCGCTGATTTGCCGCGCCTTTCGCACGTCGCGCTCTTCATTGTGAGCCACGTTGCTCAGGTCAAATTGGAGGGCTCATTAAGCCGCACAGAAGAATGATGCCATTGGGGTTACGTTGGCGTCGCGGTTGCCGGGAAAGTGTTTTTATAAGTTTTGGGAAAGTAAAAAAAAACGCGCTATTAATGAGCATGTGCGCAGAGACTCACTCGCTACTTGAATTTCCAAGCCCCTTTTTAATGTACACTTTGCTTGTGAAACATGATTAAACTCATATATAAATGAGATTTCAAAATAAGCCCATTTTTGTGTGCAAATTAGTCTCTACAAAAACATAATTAGCCAAACATGCCAATGCAAAACCCACCTGAACAAGTCTTGAGAATTGGTGAGGACTGGTTTAGAAAACTGTCAAACTGGGTCAATAAAAAGAGTACCACTTTGTGAGAATTCGACAGTAGTGATGCTAACTGCCCCCATCACTGGATAACGTGGAATTTCCACCTTTGGTTTAGACTTGCCAAGAAAGATGAGTGCCATCCTATGGATAGTTTGAGCAGGGAGACATTTATTTTTTAAATCCTTTATATTAAGTTCGCTTGCTTGCTTAGGACCGTGCAAATCTTTCGGTCGTTTTAAACCCACTTCCCGTGATCCAATCGAGCTGACATTTTCCACACAGACTCGTTGTGCGTGACAATTAATGTTCGTGAAATTTTTTTTCCAAAATTTTACACTTTTTAGGACAAAAAATTATATTTAATTACCAATTGCTTAATGGTACAATGCAATCATCTGACCCATGGGTGGCAGCCATCTCAAGCCAGAGGACGAGAGGACTCTAGCCGCCACGCATATAAAGGATTTATAGTGAAAAACTTTGTTTTTACGGGTTATACTTATACTTTCTGAATATACAAGACGTTTACTCCATCTCTTAAGGTCAACATCACTGCCTGCTCCAATTCTCTGGCAGCGTTTCGAATATTCGCCGTGAGGCTACTCCTGAGACCTTCCGCTGGCTCGCTCGCCAACCTCGAGGGGAACGCCGAATAAACACCGCTGATCAATATTCTTAGGTTTTTTTCGGTAAAGTCACGTAGGTAAAACATTAAAATTTATAAAAGTAAAATAAAATAAAAAATCACGACGTTTCGGAGGCAACACAAGCTTCCGTTGCCTCCGAAATGTCGTGATTTTTATTTTATTTTATTTTTATTAATTTTAATGTTTTACCTACGTGACTTTGCCGAAAAAACATAAGAATATGAATCCTTGCAGTCACGAAAGCTTCAAATCTAGAACCGCTGATCAACTCCACGACGTACGAAAGGAGTACAACCCATTTCATAGTTACTATTCTTCATACCGTATTTACTGTAAATACAACAGCAATCCTGGCAAATCGTCCCCTGCTGCACAAATGAATAATATCCGAATCGTATTAAGTGTGTCATGTTGATAATTATAATCCCGGATGTGCAATGGGGTGAAACTGCCCTCAATGTGCTTCTGGGGATGATGGTACGTCCAGATTACAAGCGAATTAAGATATTTGGATTGATCATTGGTATTAAATTGTGTTATTGCTCAAGAACATTTCTCTAGAATACGTTTTCCACAACCATCGTTCAAAGCTCTTTTAACAGCACTGGCTTCTCAGCCTAAAACACAAAGGCAAAGATATCCAAATAGACTACCGAGACAAGTACTGATGGAAAGCGCTTACTAAGAACGTCTTTGGAGATTAGGGGCCAATACGAGTGGCACCATACCCAGCCACTTGCATCATCCCAATGCTGCCACTGACACAGCAGGCACTCAATTTTGGCTGAGCCAACCTACAGGATGCCTATGCCAAGCTCGGATTCAAATTGGCCACCCTTGTATTTGTACACCATGGCCAGTGCCGTTAAGGCCGGTACATCGCATTGTGTGGGGGGGGGGGGGGGGGGAGGGGAGTATGGCCAAAATAATGGTGCTGGTGTTTACACACTGCACCAGATACTCGGTTAGGGCTGAGCTGACCTATGGGGAGGCGCAGGGCCAGTGGAGATAATCGCCACTGATGTGAACCGTGGCCGGGATTCGAACCAATGTGTCGCCTGGTTCGTATTGCAGCACGCTAACCATTGCACTGCCACTTCAAAGACAAATATCCCCCATATAGCATCAACAGGCTGTTGGGGCAAGTGCTGGTAGCGAGCACCTATGAAAGCCGGCACACGAGGGGGTGGGTGGCCAACATCACGCCCGACTGCCTTTGCCTCCCAAGTGGCGACGTTTACACACCGCACCAGGTATTCAGTTGAGGCTGAGTCGACCTGGGGGGGGGGAGGCCCTGCAGGACCCGTTCAGATAATCGTCACTGATGTTGGCCGTGAGCGGGAATCGAACTCGGGTTGCCGGGTTCATATCGCAACAATGCAAACCACTGCACCCCAGCCCATACCCAAGCACGCACACCAACAGAAAAAGTGGCGGGGGGGAATTCACGAAAAAAAGTTGAAAAAACTGTGGCTTGCTCAGTGAATGACAAGTCTACTTGCCGCACACCCACCCAAGGCCTCACGTCTAATCCCAGTCGAGAGCCACGAGCATCACCCCCCCCCCTCAACTTCAGCAGTGGCCCCGAAGCTCTCCAGCCCATGGGTGGGTGCAGAGAACCGGCCAGAGCGTGTAGCCGCGCGAGCCAAAAAAACAACAGACCCGTCCTGGAATTGACAGCCGCGAATTAATTTATTTTATTTGCTGTAACTTCCACACCCCCCCCTCCCCCGATCTCCCCAAAACGTCTTTCTTCGGCAGGCAAAGCTGCGATTTGCCGCCGGCACGTGAAAGGAAAAGAACGCGACAAACTTTTTGCCCGCTCGTGCAAATAAACCCGCTCTGCGTAATAAACGCGCACAAGTGGACGCTGTAAAACAACCCCCTTTAACACGAGGGGGCATTTGCACCGTCGCATCAAGAGGAGGTCGCTGATGTTGACCTGTGCGTGAGCGCAACTTTTACAAAGCTGTGCAGGAGTTCACAAAGAACAAACTCGCGGAATTGCGTGAGCATTTGAACGACATTCTAATGAGACCAGTCAATTGCCACTGATTAAAAACTCACCGACGATAATGCCAACTAACGACATTCGCATAACAAAATGTATTTGCAATGGAATATTCGAGTCATGCGAAGCATCTCGACGTTAATAATAGCGACGTTACATCAACGATATCATCAACGCAGCTACGTCAGTCAACGCGAATAAGTGAAGCAAATCCAATCCCATTTTGCTACGCGGCGGCTTTTCAAGGCACCCCCGATCCGAACTACGTACGGCGCGAAAGAAGTCCCAGCACGCGTTCGTGCGAACGAAACACGAGACGGCCTGGGGAACGAAAAGGCTGCCGACGAGCGGCCCCGAAAGCCTTTCAAACGCGACTTAGAAACAATAGCGGCGGGAACATGGCAATTGCGTCCGCAGTGCGATGACAACCGCGGCGATAACTTGAACGCACCTTCAAAGTCAGAGAGGATGCCCTCCAGGTGGTCGTTGATGGAGAGTTTGTCGCTCATGGCTGACATTCTCCCCGGCCGCCCCCACCACCCCCCCTTGCCCTTGCCGTGAGTTTCGCCCAAGCGCTTCTGCTGCAGACGGAGAGGACAAGGAATCCAAGATCTATCTCGCTCTTCTCTCCTCTCTCTCGCGCGAGTCCGCGAATTTGAGTCCACGCGTTGCGGCCACCACCTCCCCCACGTCCCGCCTCCCCCCTTCCTTGGGTTCGGCTTTTAAAAATAAAAAAATCGCCCACTCCAAAAAAGCCAACCCGGTCCCAGTGGCCGCCAGCAAATCCGAAACAAAAAAAAGTTTCGGGCGAGAAGGAGTCAAGCGGTCTTTGCAGGAGCGCCTGATTCGTTTTTGTTTTCTACTTTTTCGTGTCTATCTCATGCCGATTTAACGACGCAAACTTTCCTTGTACAAATACTTTGCGAGCAGCTGCCCAGCAACACAACCGCAACCCCAAATGAAACCTTTAACAAAAAAATTCCCAACAGAACAGAGAGAGGGAGAGAGAGAGAAGGGGTAGGGGGGGGGAAATAGTGCCAGAGCAGGAAGGCACACGCACCGCACGCTCGCACAAGGGGCAGCTGCACCCTGCGTGTTGGCTGCTGTGCTTCTTCTGCGGGACGCGGTACTGAGACACCCGAGACAGTACTTGAGGACGGGGGGGGGGGGGGTGCTGTGAGAGACACCCACTGGAAGGGGGTGGAGAGAAGTATGCAAAAAAAAACTTGAGAACTCCAGGACCACCCCCTCGTAGCCCCCGCTCCGTCTCTCGTTCCTCCTCCTCCTCCAGCGCCAATTCCCTTCCCCTCCCCGCAACACTCCAACCCCACAACACAGGCGCACAGCACTAAGCTTCTTCCCCTGTGCCTATCCCTCCTCCCCTTCCCATGTGTGTGTCTCTCCCTCCCTCCCTCCTCCTCCTCCTCCTCTCAGCCTCCCAACAAACTATCCCAAAACAGAAATAAATAACTAAATATACAAACACATCTGTGCTCACCACGTGTGCGCGCGCGCACGAGATAATATACACACGCACGCAACTGAACGAGCACAATTGTGCATTTGTATCGATGCATTTGAGAACGCACCGATGTATTTTTCACTGACACACATGTTTAGCGTTAAGTAGAATGGAGCATTTCGGGGCCAGTGTTGTTAGTGAGCACCTATTAAGGCCAACTAATGTGACACACTGCATCGAGTACTCATTTAAGGGTGAGTTCACCTAGATGAGATCCAAAACAGGTTCAGATGCTGCCTGTCAACGATGTTCAATGTCATCATTTGTATTCCAGGCACCCATGCACCAACTTCTATACCAAATATTTTTTGTAGATTGTAGGCTCACAAAGACAAAGATCGCCTATGTAACCTATTCAGGTAGTTGGGGCAAGTGCTGCTCGTAAGCACCTATGACAGCTGCCAAGTCACAATGAGGGGGTGTTGTGGCCAGCATCACTCCTGGGCAGCTTTGTCTCCCCAGTGCTGATGTTCCACACCATTCCAGGTAGTCATTTAAGGCTGAGACGACCTAGGGGAGGTCCCACGAACAGTTACAATTTTCGTCAGTGGTGTGCATCTGTAGCCAAATTTCGAACACGTGCTGCTGATATTCATAGCACGGCCCTGAAACCACTACACAACCGAAACAAATATCTCCCCTATACCCTACATAGGCGTTTGGGGCAAGTACTTTCAGCGAGCACTTATAAAGACAAAGATCTCCAGTATAGCCTTAACAGACTGTTGGGCCAAGTACTGTTAGCGAGCACCTATGAAGGCCGCTACGGCGCACGAGGGGGTGGGTGGCTCGTACCACGGCCCCAGTAGCGATGTTTACACCACTGCACCAGGTATTCAATTGAGGCTAAGTCGACCTAGGGGAGACCAAAGGACCGGTTCAGATAATCATCACTGGTGTTGGTGGCCGTGAGCGAGAATCGAACTCGGGTAGCCAGGTTCGCAGCGCAGCGCGCTAACCGCTACGCTACAGCTCACCAACAAGCACCTACAAACACACACACACACTTTGCGCCTCCCTTCGCAGCACCAAGGCGTAATTAAAACACGAGCTGAGCTCAAATTCCTGTGGAGCGCGCGGGGGTGTGTGTGTGGGGGGGGGGGGTGAGGGGTAAACGTGTGATATTTTGTTTTCCCCCTTCTCACTCTCTTCCTTCCCCACGTGGTGGCCGATGAAGCCCTTGCAAGCACGCGCACAACAGGCTTCCAGAGAGATTAGCTGCGCCCGATGGGAGAGCGGCCTTCAAGGAGCAGTAGGGCGATGGAGGAGGCCGTGTGCTCGGTGGCAGATGACGTGGAGCTCTGCATGCTGATATGAGCTACCCGTCGGAGGCCGTCGGACTGCGAGAAGGGCGGCTGCGTGCAGAGCGAGAGAGAGCGAGTGAGCGAGAGAGAGAGAGAGCGAGAGGTGGGGGTTTACATAAAGCAAAGTTTAAAAATGTAAAAAAAAATACGAAATGATGAACGAAGCAAAGTGCCGAATACACCGAGCATCTTCTTGTTTCTGCTGATCGTTAAAAAAAAAAGAAAAAAAGAGAGATGCCACCTTGTTTCAGCACCCAAATCCGGCCAAAGGGAAGGAAAAAAAAAGAAACCACGTGTCCCCGCCCCCCCAAAAAAAACCACACACTCGACAAGCCATGCGGGTGTCATGGCGTGACAGCGTCAGACACGCAGCCACCACCGCCGAGAAGCGTGCTGGAAAAGCCATAAGCCGCCAACGACCGCATGTTGCCATCCCGTTCCTTGGTGGAATAAAAAACAATCGAATCACGCGGTTGTGTTGGGATTAAGGCTCCACCGGCCCTCTTTCTTTGTTCCTTCAGGTGGCAGTTTTTTTTATAAAAGAAAAAAAAACATTTCTCCATAATCCTCAAGCGATTCTGCACGCGATCGTGGTTTTTGCGATTGTCTAGCTTGATGGGCAGGACGCAGGGCTGCGAGTCACAAATGACACTTGAAATCATTCTCAAGATTGCCTGCGCACATTTCTGCAGCATACACAAGCAAAGGGTACACTGCAGTGCACACTGACTGCGGTTCTACATCCCATTTCAAAGGTTTAGGCGCAGCCCTGCAATGTTTTTCTCACACCATTGCTGGTGGAAGGGCTTCCACTTCGAGGAAATTCCATCGAGCACTCACCTCTAGATTGCAATTGACCTTTAACGGCTTCTTCACTCCGGTCATCCTCAAAGCGGCTTTTGGCTGCCCATCGAACAAAGACGGTCACTGCATCGCGCGGCGCTTTCAGATGCGCTTCTGTGGCCGTCTGGAACGCTCTGCATTCCGATATTAGAAATCCACTGGAGCTATGCACTTTTAAATCAGGATTGAAAATTCATTTCTTAAGAACAGTTTTTTCGTGTTTAGTTTGTTGTCTTTCCCTCCGATTAACACGGTTGGCTACGTACGGTCCTAAAACAATTCAACATACATACATCTCGAGAAAACTGCTTTTTTAAATCCTTTATATTAAGTTCGCGTGCTTGCTTGCTTGCTTAGGACCGTGCAAATCTTTCGGTCGTTTTTTAACCCACTTCCCGTGATCCAATCGAGCTGACATTTTCCACACAGACTCGTTGTGCCAGACAATTATTGTTCGTGAAAAAAAATTCCCAAAATTTTACACTTTTTAGGCAAAAAAAAATTATTTTACATATATTCAAATAGAACGCATTCATGGCTTTGGCTGAACGTCAGAGTGTAAGAGCCCAGAGCGTAACCCCTCCACAGGCCGTGGCGGAGTAGCGCAGTTGGTAGCGCCCTCGCTTCCCATGCCAAAGGTCGCGGGATCGATCCCCACGTCCTCCACAGGCGAATATATTTTTAAATCCTTTATATTAAGTTCGCCGCCACGCATATAAAGGATTTATAGTGAAAAACTTTGTTTTTACGGGTTTACTTGTTATATATAAAACAAAATCATCACTGAGACTCAAGACTCTGTCATTGAACAGATCCCTGAGAGACGATGACAGCTTGCGAAGACTTTCACCCAGGAGTGGATCGATCACGGTTTAAATTGTGCCACTGTTTACATTTGTAAATAAACTCCAAGCATGCAATGAGGCAGCATTGGTTTGGAGGGCCAGATCCTGCTGATGAGACTATGAAAGAGGTCAAAAGATGGTCCACTTAAACAAACGCTCCTGGAATGATTTGGACCTGAATGCATATTGGACTATGGGTTAGAATTTGACTCATATTCTTAGGTTTTTTCGGTAAAATCACGGAGGTTAAAATTAAAATGTGTTGCCTCCGAAACGTCGTGATTTTTATTAATTTTTTATTTTTTATTTTACTTTTATTAATTTTTATTTTTTTACCTACGTGACTTTACCGAAAAAACCTAAGAATATGAATCCTTGCAGTCACGAAAGCTTCAAATCTAGAATTAGAATTTGACTATTTCAGACGTGAAACAGGTGCAATGCCTGGTTTTTACATTGTCATTGCCCACAGTCCTCCCCAAGGCAGTGAGTTATGTTATGATTTTGTCAAATGAAAAAGTGGGTTGTCCTTGGTGAGTGATGATGATGATGATCTTTTCCGAACCACTTAGCAGGTTAAGAAAAAATGTTCATATAAATAACAAAGAAAATCATTGTATGAAAAATGTGTTTTTACTAAAATAAATACACGGCCTTAACCAAAACTAGGTCTAAACACTTACCTTACGATCAGAAGGTTGGAAGTTCAAATCCTAGACTATAAGTACCACTTGTGTGAGCCAAACAACAGCAACTCAATACTCATGTGGAGAAGAAGAATAACGAGTTAATGGGTGTTTTATTTAGTTTAGGCTGAGTTGACCTATGGGAGGCCCAGGACTAGTTCAAATATTCATCGCCGATATCAGCCGTGAGCAGAAATCTAACTCAGCTCTCCGGGCTCGGAGCAGAGTGTGCCAACCACTACACTGCCACTCCCCGCTTCCCACCGTGTTACACACCATCACACACAAACAACAACAACAACAATTGCCGTTTACCACTAAATGGCGGTGACATCACCATGGCGCTTGTTCCATACTAGGTGCACTTTGAAGCCACGTGAAGTCAGAATCAGAATCTTTATTTATCCTGGAGAAATCCGATGAGCTATGAAGCTCTTTTCACAGATGTCCGGTAGGCCTGCTGGCAGGCCTGCTGTCGAAAGCCCACTGGCAGCTCACGGAAAATACCACAGTACCAATGGGCTGACTGACTGAGATGACTGGCAGATGCACCAACTGTGCTCCCCACTGTGCCGACTTTCTCCGCTTTAGTCACCAGCGCTTTGCTCGCTGTTGTGAGCGTCGCTCCTCCGCCCTCCGTTGTTGCTGGAAGAGCGACTGCCTCCAACTGCCCAGTTGCGTTCTTCACGAACCTCCTCCACGCACGCACGCACTCACGCACACGCACACACTCGCGTTCTAAAAATGTAGCCTGTCGGCAGTTCACCTGCCCCACGCCGAAACACACCACGCGGTGCTCATGAAGGAATTCTTCGGCAGCGGGGAGGAGTGTTCGTAACGAGACACCGGACACAAAGAAAACTCCCCCTCCAACTGCAAGGGGAACCACACCACACTCCGACTCACCTTCCACATCCCTCAACC